GTGTAGAAAACAATCAATACTCGTGTATCTATGTGGAATTGAGAAGACATGCTCTACAGTATTTGTCATGAAACTTTCTCTTCGACGCAAAAATATATCGTCTTTTATTATTAAAATTAGTTTATTTGTTAGTTCATCTTGAAATGGCGAAGAGAATGCCCTCATAGTTTTGATACTTAAAACAAAGTATGCCAGGCAACGTAAACAGCAAATTTTTCAAGTTCTCGTTTTGTTTCTTTCCGTAAAATTTTCAGATTCAAAAAAAATTTAAAATAACAATAAGTTCTCCCAAAGTTTATTTTAGCGACTTGGTTGGTCATTTCAGGTTAATCATGGTGTCATAAAGCACGTTATTTTATCTGTTACTCACAACATGCTTCTTTAAAAGTTCGTAAATGCGACAAAGTATTATGTTATGAAAATTAAGCAAAGAATGCAATTTTTTACAAATTAACCAATAATTACTTAATTAATTATAACTGCTTTAACAAATTGATTAAATTCACTGCCATGGGAAGTGCTTCGCTTACCGCAAAAATGTTTTTTTATTAATTTGCCCAAAAGGAAAGGATAATTTCAGTTCTATGTCCTTCGGACTGATTTCATTCGGCCATTAATTGATTTAAAATTAAATCTCTTGATTAAACTTATTATTGTTTCCATATATAAAAATTACTAAAAATTCATTAATTTTATGCTTTTATTATATATATATTTGAAAAAGTTTTTGAAAATAAGGCACGGGAATGACTTGTGGGAAAGTATTTTAAAATTCAAAGCTCATAATTAGAAAAGACAGTTGCGTATAGATGAATCTCAATTCACACGTCTTTGCAGATAAAAATTTCAGCAATATTTCATACTTTTCAAATTTGCTTGGTTTCAATTTCTTGCATGAATGGGATACAGAGACATTTTATTGCCCCCCCCCCTCCCATATTTGGTTGTAACATAAGAGATTTTGAATTTTCAGTTATTACTCCGTAACAGTGTCATCCAGTCTATCTTTGCGCATATCTTTAATCGAATGTATTATTTTTCATTGCTCTAAGTTGACGATTTGATAAGTTTATGACTGTGTTTGTGATTAAGTTGACTAATTCCAATGATGCTCTTTACACTCCAAAAGTCTGTCTGTATTTAATTTTTGTTTTCAACTTATTAAATAACTTTGGACTACAAAGTATGCTGATGGGGTATATACGCCAAACATTATTGATTCGGAACATTATTTTAAATATGACAAAAGTATTAATTTTTATATGAATATGAAGTTCATTTGCTGAATGTGTTTATCAAAAGCTAGGTTTTAAAAAGTATTTTTCCTTCCTTTGAATTTTTAGTGATCGGGTGGCGATAAATTAATGTTAAATAAGTGAAATTAATTAAAAAAATGTTTTAATTCCAATGTCATTTCCTCGACGCTAAATATAAACGAAACCTCAAAAATGCTTCTGAAAAGTTGAAATTTTAAATAATTACAAATATTGAGCGTATTAGCTTTAATTTCTTTAAAAAATGGCTTGAAACAAATTTTTTTATCTTCGAAAAATGTTGAGCGCTAAAACTTTCCAAGCCCATCATGAAAAGTTCTATAACACTAAATGTGGATAAAAGGAAAGTTACCCTGGAACACCTCTCCAAGGAATACTCACAATATTGTTTTCTAAATTATTAAATAATGAGGTTAACTGTCATTTCAATATGACGTTCCAATGAACATCCAATCGGAGGCAGCTGACTAACTAGACATGTCAGAATTATATTAACTACCATATTTTAAAAAGACATCACCAGACTTTTACACTAGGATCACTTATTTCTTGAAAGAAGTGAAATTACTTTAATATCGTTTAAAACTGACCTCATAAAACTGCGCGAATGGATTAAATTAATTTATTTTCATAAAACATGATTGCAATGAGTTATTTTGTATATTTCACTTTAACCCACATTTGCAGAGCTTACTTTTATATCTTTTAACAATATTTTTTTATTGAATGATTCATCTTTAATTTAGATTTTCTAAACCTAAAGAAGTTCATGTAATACATCTACTATGACGGCTTTAGCTATTTTCAAGAATTCATGTAAAGTATACTTATTTGGGCTTAATTATGTTGCACAAAACTGACGGAGAATGAATTAAACAGAAATCTTGCAATTGATACAATAAACTAAACTTCCAGTTATGAAGCTGAAAGAAAACGCGGAGGTTTGCATATTTTCACTCAGTAAAATTCATCACTTTTAGAGTGAGTTTGAATTGGGGAAAAGGATATTCACTTCTAAAGAAAAAAGAATGATGAAATTTTGCTGGAATTTTGACTTCGGCTTCCGTGAAGTATTGAAGGAAATTTATTGAACTCATTTGCCGTGAGAATGTGAATTAGAAAAAGAATTGTTGAACTTTCTCAAAATAATACAGAAATCACCTATGTTATTATTGATTACTTAATGCCAAAATCCACAATTTAATTATAGAGTGCACGAAAGAAGAGTTTATATATAGCCCAACAAGTAATACAGGATTGAGAAATAAATGACATCATGAACAATGCTTTGTCTTTCTTTTTATTTTTGATGTAGAAATTAAGGTGTCCAGTTAATTATTATTTTAGATTCAAAATGAAATTATCTAATTTCATTCTTGGAATACAGAAAAATACTTGTCCACTGTTCCCTGTACTCACTGATCATTATTTTCCAACCAAGAAGCTTTGACAAAAATGGTAAGCTCGCATGATAGCAAAAGGTGAGGAATTAGGTATCATTGGGTTAAATACTACCAGAAAATTTTAAACAATGTATCTGAAATAACCTTTTCAGTGACGATCATTTGCCCTTAATTTGTTGTTTTCAAACATTCTTCACTCTTCTGTAGCGTTTCGAACTGAATAATTTTAGGATAATTTTTAGTTAAATAAACACAAAATCTCCAAAGGCTTTGATGATAGGGAAGCATAATTTTGGAAACAAGCTATTTTAAATGTGTCACGTTCAACCAAGTGCAATAAGTTTAAAAATCCACGATCATCGCATTTTCAGTAATAGTGAGCTTGAATCCATCGTTTAAATTAGTTTTTTGACAAAAGTTTTAAAACAAAAATGACTTTGTGAAATTTTGCACGGTTTTTAAATCAACACTCAAAAGAATTGATATTTCAGAGAATCTCGTAGCATCTTGTTATAAAATGACACATTTTAATCGATTTTTAATAGAATTTATCCAATAGTGTTTGAGGAGTTTCACAATTATCATAAATGAATAAATTTTTATTCAGAAGTTACTTTCAATGTAGAAGCAACTGCGGTTAAGCTAATTGAATCTGAACTTAAATGGGGGAGGGGCTTTCTAGTATGAAATACACTTAAGTGATGTCAAATAAATCAACAGAGAGGCTCAGATTCTGCTGTGCTAAGCAAAGTATTTCAAGTTCTCTGAGTTGATAGCATAGCTCGTCTTGTGAGCTTTGAACTCGAGAATTCGGGATCACGACTGAGTTCTGATTTTTATATCCCTCTACACGTACTATTAAAGTCATTTTGATGGGCCATAGCATTAGCAAATGTAGCTTTGGATGTTACTTAAATCCTATGGTTTAATGAAAGCACTATGCGTCTGGCTCTTTGAGACCTTTTCATTTCTCTCCCCCTTTCTTTCGTTGAAGCATAAAACAAAAGTTTTAATCCTATTAAATGGACTAAATATTGAAATTCAAATTGTTTTTTAACATACTTCTTAATATTGGCCTTATTCTTCAATAGAAAAATGTTCAAAGCAAAGGCCCGGAAGTTGCTTTCAAGTGAAGATAGCAGTTGTGTGATTTTGTCAAGATAACCGCTTAAATAATTTGCATTTGGAAATGAAATGAAATAAATAAATAAAGGGCAGCGTTTTCAAGTGACACGATTTCAGGACAAGGAAGGAATAAATTGTAATTTGCGTCTTTTTAATTTACGTCCTTTTCAACTTTTGCTATATTTAAGCAATTATATCAATGCATGCAAAGTTCAAGGTACTTATTTTTAGACGAATAATTTGGTTTCGTCCTGATAAGAAAATGATTTTTGGTAAAATATTCAGACATTATGTTAATTCCTTGGGGAAAATGGACACGTAAGGAACTAATGCAGAAAATTAGAGACAAAAACCGTGTGAAAGTATACAAGATTACAGAGCACATTTCTACTGGTAAAAGGAAGTATAGACCTATTCAATTTCCAATCAACTTAAGGAACTCATTAATAAAATAAAATAAAATAAAATAATGACTTGAGCTCTTTTCTTAAATCTAGAGGGGTGTTGAAAGTGAATGAAAAATTTGTTCCTCAACTAATTAAGTTTATATAAGTACTTTTTCCTGCTGTAAATATAGATTTGAACTTGTTGACCCAGGTTTGCGCTTTCAAAGATATTTTTCTAAAGGTAAAACTTTAAAGGTGACGTTGAAATGATGGATAAGTTTTGTAAATGAATCAGGCGCAGGCTTTCCATGGGAAAATTTGATCCCTCTTGTCACATGTTGAAATTTTTTAATTAAATGAAATTATTGTATTTCCTGATACTTAACTAGATATTTAAAATGAATATATCATTGGTAGAAAAAATTGCATTGAAAATTAAAGTTAATATGATAAATGTTCAATAAAAAGCGCAAAATTACTTAATCATATTTGTTAATTTGTCAATCAACTGTCTTGTAGGTTGTTAGCCAATTTCAACATAATGAGATTCAAACTTGTACAAATTGACAAATGAGCATTTTAAATCTCATTTAGTATCTTATGGTTTCATGATTGTATAAATTTTTCCAATTTGACTTTTATTTCTTAGTAAATGTGGGTTATAAACATACTTTTTTGTTATTAGCAAAAATGACCAGATCAGTGAATCCTATTGGCTAGTAGTCCATCTAACAAAGTAGCCAATTAAATACAACTTTCGTCAGTCACATAAATTTGCCCGTCAACCAACTTTAACTTATGCATATGTAGTCATGTTTGTGGACAACCTTATACCCAAGTGGACTTCAACCAATTCCCTCTCAGCTTCTCTTCGTGTTCAAAAAATCCTCTATCAACTTTCCCCAACTTGCATTTGTCCAAATTTTGCTGGAATGGTTCAAGAACTGGAACACTATAAACTAAATTCAACTCCTGTTGAAAGCTGTGATGGACGACCACGGAATCTCATTGCTCTTGCTCTGAAGACTTCTAGATCGCTATCGTTCGATAGTAAACTTCCTCTTCTCCCAGGAAGACCGAAAGTTCATATTCGGAAAGCATATCGTCCTAGGTTAATGTCTGATGATCTGGCCAAAGTGGAAAAACTCAATGATATCGAAGTCCTCTTCCGGAGTCACCAGAGAGTTTGTCGATCAAACCCTCGAAAGTCATTCGCTTCTCGTAAACCATCCTCAGAGATTAGAAACAGTCTTCAATATCGGAGTCTTGCAGAAGGTTCTGTAAAATTGGCCATGTCTTGCTGGTCTGCAGGTCGTCAAAATATTCCCAAAATACGCATTCATCCTGACGATCCTGATGACTTTACTTATTGTGTTATGAGAAGCAACAGTCTAAACTGTCTGGACTCGGGCACATTAACCGATTCAAAGATGCGCGCATTATCACATGAACTGCTTGCCATTCCTCCTTCAACAACCGCAAATGGAATTTCCTATTCCTCTGCAGAATTCGACGAACTACGAACATCAGTCTATTCCACCCATGGAAGTGCAAGAAGTGGAAGTTTTTCCACCATGTCCTTAGTTGTCCCGCAAAACTCCGATTCATTCAACAGAAAATACAGGAACATGCGGAGGTGTAGAAGCTTAACTGACATTAAACGGAATGTTGTTGAAATTGCATCTAGAGAGGTGAACATTCGGGTACATTCGGACTGTTGCATCAACAGCGTCGGTACCGATGTGATGACCGATTTATTTGAAACGGCACACATTTTAGGACAGGCTTTGGAAAGGCATTTGAAACAGCAGGCCAGTGCTCTATCTGTGTGATTCTGACGTGCGATTTCACCTTAATGCTTTTTACAGTGGTCCCTTATTTTGATATAAATACGGATATATTTGTGAATGAAGAATGGCGAAATTTCGTATTTTTTAGTTTTTTTAACCCTTATACTTAGCTGGTAAGTCCATTTACAATTGCATAGGAAAGGCTGATTCAAAATTAATATCAAATACATTCTTATTTACTTTTCAAATGTTATATATCTAAGTTAACAGAACAAAAGTGTCTGAAAGTGCTTCAAAGCTCTCTACTCTTCACAATTCTAGACAAATCAGATTACATTTAAATGTTTGCCATTCGTGGTAACTATAAAGTGTACTTCAAACAGGATTTTAGAGTAGTGAAGTTTATTTTCGGAAATCGAAATATTTATTTTTCTCTTATCATATTCTGGCCAAAATATCTGAACAAAATTATTTTGACCTTTTATGTCTCCTAATAAAATGGTTGTCGAAAAAATAAAAAATATCAGTAATTATTATGAAGCAACTGATGATTGATCAATTACTTTATTAATAATGTACGAAGCTTTGGTTAGACGGGAATTTCAATTGAATACGTTATTTAAATAAGGTGACTGTAATTACGAAGGCGTATATTTTATTCAATTCTCATTTCCTTAGGCAGCTAAACTGGATCATTTCAATGATATCATTTTCTATTCATATGTATATATATATATATATATTTCAGCATTGATATAACTCAACTTTCTCTCAAGAAGGATTATGTGGAGCAAATATTGTATCACAATTAATTATTAAATCTAAGGAAGGAAATTTGGAATACATGACACATTATTTGGCCATGAAAAATAAAGAATAAAAATAAAAAATAGACTTAAAAAGAGTTGTGGACTCTACGTGGAGATTTAAAGTTAAAATGCCTCTTTAAAATAACTTAATTCCTTCTGTGCACTTTAGTCAACTAAATGGAAATGTATCTTGTCTAAAATGAAAAAATGTTGAAAATTTTTTGCATAATTAATTTTTACTAAATCGTAAAAAGAAAGAATGGGACTAATCTTTGCCTCATATGGCACAGAGATTAAGACTTAAAATTAGCCACCAGTTGCAAGCTGGTCTAAAGCACAGTTATTGTATGTTTAGGTGAATTCTTGCATAATGCCTATTTTTTAGATTTACTTCGCCTTCTCTTCAGAGTGTGTTAAGCTTCCAGTTATTATTCACTTGAAACTTATGAGTCACAAAAGAGACGACTCATTACACTTTTCATATCAAATATTTTATTCATCAAGTTTTATTTATAAAAGGACCAGCACTGAAATATGCCAAAAAGAGCAAATACAATTGATTGATATTAATTCATTTTGTTAATTTTCTAATAAAATAAATTTTTGACTCAAATGCATTTATGTCTTATGTGAGTATTTAAATCTCCAGTGGTTAATTATTAATTATGTCTAACACGCACAAATCTGGGAAATTTAATTTTAAGATAAAAAATTACCTACCATGCGAAACAAGTTTAACCTTATTTTTTGCAAATCTGTGTTTAAGTAAATTAATCATTCATTTCATGCATTAATAATCAAATTTGGTCCCAATATCTTCGCCACCTTTAAAGCTTAACGCATGAAAGCACTTTGGATCTATTGGAAGGCGAGAATGATTTGAACATAATTGTAAGTAGCAGGGTGGGAAGGGGGCTGGATTTTGATATTGCAAGCGATCACAAGATCATAGATGAGAGTTAGTAATAGTGAACAATCTTAAGGTAATTGGTAGCAATGATAATATATCACTAACGCATTCACATTTAATGATTCAGTACGTGAAATGCGGAAGTCCGTGTGAAATATATTTGAAGTTTGAGGTCATAAAACTGCGAAACTTTGATTTCGGAAAGGGAAATTTACAATTATTTTTTTTAAATTGAATTTTAATCACACTGGCATTTCCCATATTAACAAATGACGCGGTATTTTTTGTACTGATAGCCACGCACGGCTTGTCGTTATCCTATTTATCTCACAATCCTCTGTTAAAATACGTAAATAAAGTGATTTCAAAACCGCTTACCTCCATTTTAAATTACTTAGTTCATAAATTTACTGCAAGCCTTCTAGAAGGTCCAAAACGCAAAATGATACTTATCATTAACAAAACTTCCAAAATTCTTATCATCTAATAGATATAAATCTTCTCTTTCAAAGATCGTTGAAATATTGTAAAATGAAGTAATTTTCTAAAAATTTACGTATGACGGCTTAAAGTGAGCATCTTAATTCTAAGTGCACCATCATAAGTGAAAATAATTTAAATTAAAAAACCGGGGATATATATGAACAAAATGTGTTTACATGATAAGCTTCATCATTCTTTAAACTCCATTACAAAGTAATGCGGCCAAACGCGCTCCTCCTTATTGGCCAATAGAGATTCGAATATTTGATGAAACGTCAAACTACTAACATTTCATCTGTTGAACTTCATCAAATTTGGAAAATTATAATATAATTTCCATCACATTCTGGTAGTTAAAACTACCATCACTAGTGCAATAAGCCGTATTACTTTATTCCAGGTAATAAACTTTCTCATCAGGAAAGAGAACATCGTAAGCAACGATCAGTTGCGTGGTCTTTGATTTATTATTAGTAATCTTTACTGAAACTGAAAATAATGAGCAGATATTTGAATTTCACCAAGTGGCATTTCACATCGGAACTAAGATATTAGTATAAATCCGACTAGGCTATTAAGTATGCATATTTTTTAGTTAATACTTAGTAGATAGTAACCTAAATTTGAACAGAAATTTAAAAATAGGTTCACTTAAGCACCTCTAGTTTAAACTATTTTATAAATTCAAGCCGCGTAGGTTTAAGTAAATATTGGTCGCGCTACCAACCTTAATAATTTAACTAAAAATAATATTATTTAATTAGCATCTGCAGTAGAATTTATTTAAAAAATTTTAAATTTAAAATGGGAGAAAATATAACTTTGTCAAAGTATCAGACTTCGATTTAAGTTGAAAATGACAGTCATAACAGCTGTCCAAACAATATAAGATTTTTAAATGTTTTATTTATACAAGATAAATTAATCTTTTTCCATAATATTCATAGAAAAAATTGAAAATTGAATCGTGATTGCTCGAAAATATTTTTAAAATGAATATCACCTTGGAAAATATATAATGAATTAATTGCTTCTTAAAGCAAAACTTGAAATAACGATTATAACGAGTTAAAGGAAAATGAAATAGCAAGGAAATTAAAAACTTAATTAATATTTAAAAGACAATTTTAATAAAATATGTAAATTAATAGTTAAAAACAGATAATTAATAATTCAATCCCACCTCAAACCCACCACTAGGTTCTTTTCATTCACCGTGCGTCCTCCAATTTGCTATTTGTGCTCATTTAAAACGAATGAATACGTTTGAGGTATGCAATGCAAATAATAGTGATGTAAGTTGACTGTGCATTAAAAATGTTGTCTGTTTAGTGTTTGAATCTATGACTAGAAATTATCTAAACGAGTCTACCAAAATCTATATTAATTGGCTTAGTAAATTCATGAAGATAAAATGACAACGGAAGCGCATCTAAGCCGCAAACCAGCAAAATTCATATGCATTCCTATCTTTCATCGCAATTATTTGCAGACTTAGGCAGATTTGTGTTGGTAGATATAAAGTTCACCCTACATGAAATTCTGTATGAATTTTTGCCGCCTTATTTTGCCTACTGTGAGAAAATTTATATCCAAAAACGAGTGGAGAACATTATTTTCTTTTCCTAACTAATTATTGATTACAATTTTTTAATTTCCACAATGTGAAAGGGACAGACAGACACAAAGGCAGAGAAAAGGTAAGATGAGTACTATCAAAGGGGTCGAATATGACATGCAGTCGGGCCATGGCAGTTTGAAGTCAGAAGTCAACTGCCAGTTTATAGTTTTTTTTGCCGTATAAGTGACATTAAGCCCGCCATTTGAAATAAATACATTCTCACAATATGATAATGGGTGGTGAAATCGTTTTTTATCTTTTCAATAGTCATATAATGGTTTTTATTTGCAAAATCTTATTGAATATACAGGAGAATCACAAAAATATTCAATTTCTATTTATATTTATTTAAATATAATCATGAAAACGAGGCGCGATTCATTACTTGCAGGTACAAAAAATTACGAATATTGCGATGCGTCAAAATTGGGAATTTAATTTGTCTCGCATTAGCATGAATCGGGGAAGGTTCTTTTTTTCCGAAAAAAATCAGTAAAGCNATGGTTATCATTAACCCTTTAGCTGACTTCGGTCTTCACAGGGGGGAGGGGAGATCAAAGTGAGAAAAATTCGAGAGGGGAAACAGAAAAGTGATTCAAGGATGTAAAAGAGATAGACAGACACAAAGGTAGAGAAAAAGTATGTAAAAGAGACAGACAGACACAAAGGCAGAGAAAAGGCAATATGAGAAAAAGAGGCAGACAGACACAAAGGTAGAGAAAAAGGGATAAAAGAGACAGGCAGACACAAAGGTAGAAAAAAGGTGAGTACTGTTTACTTAGTCGAATATGAAATGCGGTGGGGTCTTGGTAAAAGAGACAGACAGACACAAAGGCAGAGAAAAGGTAGGTTAAGTATGGAGGAAGTGATCGAATAAGACATACAGTGGGGTCATGGTTGTTTAAATTCAGTAGTCGAACGCCGGCCTATCGACTTTA